AAATTATAAATAGATTATTTTATACAATTTACAAATGAGGCAGATTAACAAATAGAGTTAATGTGCATTCTGTCACGATGGTGGTGTGCTTCTCACAGTCCAGGGCCATCGGTTAGCATCACGACAACAATTTCCGCTGGTAGCCATTTTGTTCACAATTTGACAGCCGGCTCTTTAAAGAAAATACTGTTTGTTTTTCTTCTTTAAACATTTTGGTTAAATGTAATAAGTTTAAGTGCTTTCTTCTTCTAAAATACGCCGGTGTGCTTGTGTCTAATGCGGAGGGAACCCCCGCTATATGTTTTATTATTCCTTAAAACGTAGTTAAAAATAACATGTAATGTATTTTTATTCTATTAAAGTTTAATGGCAACCCAAACCATGTGCCCTCACGTAGCATAAGCATGTATGATACCATATATGGACATAATTCCCATATCCGCAACCGTGGCATAAGCATGTATGATATCATTTATGAACATAAGCCCTCGACCAATCAGAATAAGGGATATGCCCCCCTCCCGCTTATGACATAATAAACGGAGACCCATTTAAGATCCGCCCACAAAATATCCCACAGGCTAAAAAGGCCCGATAGGACTCCTTCTTCAGCTTGACGGTGTCCATCACCGCCGTTGTCCATCAGCGGGTTTGGGGATTGCCGCCGTGAAAGGCACCAGAGAACATGGGCAAAGCTCTGCCAGAGGTAGAAGTTGAAGCTCCTTCTGATAGGGGATTCCACCAGATGTTCCCAGCAGACCTTCACTATACACTTGGGCCTGCCAGGCCTGACTGGCTTTTTTCCCCCACCAGCAGAGCCAACCAACCACCAGGTGGTGATTGGTTGACAGCTCCATACCTCTCCTCACCCAAGTGTCCAATACATGCGGCCGCAAGTCCGAGGACAGGACCGCAAAGACGATTATTGAACTGCGGCCTAGGGTGTCCTGGTGCCAAGTGCACATTTGGACACCCTTATGCTTGAACATGGTGTTCATTATGGACAATCTGTGACGAGCACAGAAGTCCAATAACAAAACACCACTTGGGTTCAGATTGGGAGGACCATTCCTCCCAGTCACGCCCCTCCAGGTCTCATTGTCATTGCCCACGTGAGCATTGTAGTCCAGCATAACAAGAGTCCCCAGGAGGAGCGCTCTCCAACACCTCTTCCAAGGACTCCAAAAAGGGTGGGTATTCTGAACTGCCGTTTGGCACATAAGTGCAGAGTGGAAAAGGGTCCAACCCCCCTCGAGGTTCCAGATCCCAAGCTGTGCGTTGAGGTGAGCCTGACTATATCTAGTTGGAACCTCACAACCTTGCGCACCAGCTCAGGCTCCTTCCCTGCTAGAGAGGTGACATTCCATGTTCCTAGAGCTAGCTTCTGCAGCTGAAGATCAGAGCACCAAGGTCCCCACCTTCGGCCACTGCCCAACTCACATTGCACCCAACCCCTTTGGCCCCTCCTACAGGTGGTGAGCCCATTGGAGGGGGGATCCACACGCCTTCTTTGGGCTGTGCCCGGCCAGGCCTGGCCACCAGGCGCTTGCCTTTGAGCCCCACCCTCAGGCCTGGCTCCGGGGGGGGGGCCCGGTGACCCCCGGTTCGGGCGAGGGAAAACGTGAATCCATGTTGTTTCTCATCATGAGAGGTCTGGTTCCTCACCCAGGACCTGTTTGCCTTCGCTTCTGTCTTTGCCGTGACGTGAAATAGTGCAGATATCACTAGTCAAATATATTAATTTAAAACAAATGGCAGAAATACTGAGCAATACTTTTTGCTTTTTTACTTCATTAAGTTTTTAATTATTATATTAAACAACATAATATATGAGAATGCTTCTGTACCTTGAATGCACATTAATTTGCAAGCAATGCTGATGGAGCAAGGAATGATTAGTGTAATTCAAACTATCAAGAAACAGGCTGGACCAGAGGTCCAAACAGATAGGATCCAAGAGGTTGGAGCTTCTAGAGGACCTACAGGTACTGACAGAGAAAATATTAGAGAAAATTCTTTAGCAGACCAGCTGAAGTCCTTTCTGGAGATGGCTAGATTTTCCACCACTTCATACCCAACTTTTCATCTAGGGCTGCTACACTGACTGATATGATTGGTTCAAGATCTCCCAATCAGATGCAGTAGACTAATAAGGCAATGACAACATTTTGTGTTCTCCAGCACTCCTTGAGTAAGAACCCAGTGCTTCACAATCCAGATGTTAATAAATCATTCACTGTACAGATGTCACACCCGGCTCGTCCGATCCTCGTGTGTGCCACACCCCCCTCATTACCTCGTGTTAATTCCCGATTGTAATCACCTTTTACCTGTTATGTTTTTGCCTCAGCGACTGCCGAAGCCGTGTTCCGCTTGGAATGCCGGTACTCATCAGCTGCCTCTGTGTTCCTGATTGTAATCACCTGTTACCTGTTATGTTCAGCCTATCCTGTGTATTTAGTCCGCGTCTGAGTTTCCCCAGATCTGTCATTGATGTTTGTTGCCGTGTACCTGTTTCCCTGCTAATAAACCCTGTTTGCCTGTATTTACGGCTCCACTCGCCTGCTTCCCTGCTCACCCGCACGCGTCACAACAACAGACTGTTGCTTCTGAAAGGGAAATTGGGGCTGTGTTTCTGCAGGGACTTCCATTGGACCGACACGCTGTAGATTTTATAAGGCATAAGCTTTTTCCCAGAGAGTGTTGTTATTCCACCATTGGAAAGGAGGCGTTGGCTATTAAATGGGCCCTACCTGTCTCTCCTGTTGCCGTGACGTTCCTGAAGGGGGGGGGGGGGTGTGATGGCTGCCCCCACAGCCACACAGCCATTCTGAAGGAAAGTATCATTTACCCATAGTCATTTGTGATTTTATGTTTGAATTTGTTTAGTTTAACTTCCAGTATACTAGTAATTAAAAACTCAACAATATTGTTTCTTAGTTATGGCGGTGGAATAGTTTGCATTATTAGTTTATTTTTTATTGTTTAGATTTTTTTTATTTTTAGATTTTATCTGATTCTATTTTGCTTTGTTTTTATTTAAAACGTCGGTTGACTGTCCTGTTTTGATTTGTTTTGATTATTTGTGATATTTGTTATTGTGCTTTTCCCTTTTTGTGTCTTGTGGTCTGGCCAACCAGTGTATATAGTCCTCATGGTGCCTTGTCTATGGAGAAGGCCAGTTTGCTTGCTTTAAGTTATATGTTTACTTGTGTTTTTGATAAGTTGACCTCTTTTTATGGGCCCAAATTTATTCTTTTGTTATTCTGTTTTGTTTTTGTAAATAAAAAAGGGATTTTTTCCCCCAATCAACCTGTGTTCCTCATGCCTTCCATCTCAGTCCCACACACTCTTCATGGGTGAATTAAAATCCTCATAGCAAAGAAAAATGACAGAGATATGCATACATGTTTTCATTTTCATATTAGAGATTGCGTCAGGGCAGCAGTATCAATAAAAATTCTTAATAAATCACTTGCAGAGTACATTCAGAGTATATTGGAATGGAACGGACAGGAATTAGACAAAATTTTAGATTTTTAAAATATTCCCACTAGAAGGTCAACTAACACACCTCAAATGCAAAGATTGTATTTCCTGTGCAGTAAAATGTTGGTGCATAAGAGGTACAAGTTGCTTACTGACGTAAATGCGATGTGATGTACACAATTCCCAAAACAGTGCACAAGAGCGGTGTGACTGTGGGAGTGAACACAGATCTGAGTAGTGACGTTGTTCTATACAAATGGTGTGGAGAAGGATTATTTCACACCACTGACCTTTGCGTAGTGTGATTCAGTGGGTTAGGATGCTATACCTGTGATCAGAAGGATGCAGGTTCAAATCCCAGGTTCTGAAGAGTGTTGTCACTATTGTGCCCTTGAGTGAGTTTCTTAACCAGTCCCTCCAAGATTTAATGATTCTGTAATTCACAGAAATTAACACAAAATCGAGCTATGCAATATTTGTAAGAGCTTGCAGCTTTTCTACAAGAAATGGCCACATAAAAAGACCACTTGCCTTTGGACCATGACATGCCCTGTGACACTACATGCTTTCATGTGTTTATTGACAGGCACTGCTGAGGGTAAGATGAGCACAGCAAACACATCTCATTTACCAAAAAGTTCAGGCATTTTGAGACATTATGATGATACAGAGCACAAATGAACATGTCCACATAAAACAAACAATGGGCACTTTGGATATTAAACTATACATCTTTCTGTCAATGGATTTGACTGAGTCAGAGGTTGCAATTGTAAACCTTTGTAGACTCTATCACGTGGTGCTTCAGCCCCCTAAAAAAAAAAAATTCTAAAAAATGTATCCCACATTTTTGTATATACTTTGTAGTACCCCAGCTCAGCAAACTTTATCTTGGGGGTCCCCCCACCCAGCTGCTTCGACGCAGGGTTGAGCTCCCCTAATGGTCAAATCCTAGATTAGTAGAATAGTCATACTTCCGTGGATGTGAAACACACTTAAATTATACAAACATGGAGCCGTTGCTCGGGGAAGAATACAGTCTGTGACCGCTTTAATGTGTGGTGCAGTTTCAGTAAAGCAAACCTCTTGCAAACACACTTTTGATTACAGAGTCCGGGTACACAAGGCGCACTTCACTTCGCTCCCTCTTCTAGTAACTTAAACTTGGGCTAAATTCTCACAGTGAAGGACAGTCTTCAGCGTGGTAAAATTCCAAAATCCTCATCTTTGTATAATACATTTCCGAAATAAAGTAACAGCGACTTCAGAAGAGCCCCACATAACATGAAACACAAAATACTACTTAAGGTTATAAAATAATACACATGCGCAGCGCCAATCGACAGAGGACCCGGTAGTGACATTGGTAATTGCTTATTGGATGGATAATATTTATGTTGTCTCCAATGATTGGTTGTACGTATAGGTTTCATCCGGTTAAGAACCAAATGGTGCATCGTTGCACATCAACGATGTCCTTGAAATTCAAGTTCCGGATTAAAGCCTGTTATTGCATTTTGGGAAGTGTAGTGATATTATGGTTGATGTTAGTTTAACGTATTCGCTGTTGAACTACCTTTCCCAGACTCCCAGTGCTCATACGCGTATCTGTTTAGGGTTCTGTTTCGTAAGGAAGGGCACATGTGAATCCTTGAGTACCAGAGGAGGTAGTAATATTTATATTGTCGTTTTTTTTTTTAATAAATGTTGTTTTTTAACACAACTAGTCGGCATGCCTCTAAAAATAAATGGTTAATACGGGCGTTTTTGTTTCATTTACTGGTGTTCTGTATTACCGTTCATTTCTGAATTCTGCAAAAGCACCTGTTAACATAACATTATCTGATTTTGATTTCTTATTTAATTGTGAAGATTTGCCAAGTTTTCGCTGTAAATACTGTGATAAGCAAAATCTAGTATTTGATTTCTGGAGACGTATATATGAGCTGGTGTTACTAGATTTAATATCCTTCCAATGTTCGACTATAGTGTTTCAGCCACAATGTGAACGTTTTATGTATATATATAATGGGAGCTGCCGCGCTGTGTTTTATATAGCTAAAGTGTATTCAATGGTTTCCTATAGGGATAAGTTCAAACGAATTTGAGGATGTCGACGCTGTCTGCTGCTAGCTGTGAGTCATCTCCCTTGAGTGCAGCACCTCAGGAGAAGAAGCCGCTGAAGCCTTGTTGTGCTTGTCCAGAGACCAAAAAAGCCAGGGACACCTGGTAGGTTTAACTAGCCGAACTTGTTAAATAACTACATGACTGCCGACAATAACTGCGAACAATGCATGGCGATTGCAGCATCGTCGAGAAAGGCGAAGAAAGTTGCAATGAGCTGATCGAGGCGCACAAGGAATGCATGCGAGCGCTCGGGTTCAAGGTGTGATCGGGCACTTTGGAAAGACGTGACGGGTAAGTGGGCAGAAAAACCGAAACTTGCCATACTACCATGCCATTGAATGTTCGCCGACACTCAATGGCATGGTAAGTAAATACAAATTAAATATTTAAATTTCGCATTTAAGTTCATTTATAAAAAGAACTAATACTAATATTTTAATATAATATTTCTGGAATACCATCTGTGCTCTATTATATGTATGTTACTGTTGGATTGGATGTCCATAAACCAGTCGCGTTTAATAGTTAACAAATTTTTTACATTGTATTTGTCCCACATGGCACACATGCATTACTTTTGTCTGTCCAAGGGCATGAAAGTGCCCTGTGTATTTCTGGAGATAATTTGTGTTTAAAAAGGCCCATTTTGTGTTGATGCTGTAATAAAGCTTCAAGGGGCATGGAAAATGGCTCCTAACCATCATATGTGGTGGTTATGAAAACAGGAGTTATAGCCACACAATACAGAATTTTGTTTCATCGGGCAAATGAATTCCAGATAATAATGGGTTGTATTAAGCTGACATCATTGTCCAAGATACGCATAAATGAAAACGAGGCGGCGGCCAATTTACCGGGGTGCGAGTGGCAACAACAGCACGAAAACCCCGAATCTAATGCCTTGTCCACACGTTCACGGGTATTTTAAAACAGTGTTTTTCCTCCTCCGTTTAAACCCACCCCCCGTCCACATGAACATTGTCTTCTAAAAAAATTACGTCCACATGAAACCGCTAAAATGCGCTGTCAAAAGCATGCCAAAACAACAGGAGGCATTATAACTCTAACCGTACTGCCAATCAGAAGCCTAATTGCCAGTCCTGTTAAGTTGAAAACCATGGCGCACATTCCGACGCCTGTGTTGATCAATATAATGTGAGAGTGACTCAACATTTATCTGTACATATGTAAGAAGTTCTGTCAGCAAGGTTAGCACAAGCACTATTTCGGCTAAGTCCGCCATTGCTCAAACTCGCCTAATGTATACAGCAAACAGCGCACGCTCTGATGTTATACAAAATGGACAACGGCACACAATCTGACGTTTCGAGCCAAAAACTCTGTTTTCCCTGTCTACATGTCGATGCTGAAAATGGAGTTTCTTAAAATCTTCACCCTGGATGGAGTTTTGGAAACGCTCTGTTTTCAGTGACCTGAGACGTATAGAAAAAGGTGCGTTTTAAAATATACCCGTGTACGTGTGGACAAGGCATAAGTTTCTTTTGTATACCTTTGGATTGTACAAATCAAGGCAAAGAGACTGATCAGCTGCCAGAAAGGCTACAGAAAACTTGGTTAAGATCCATCAATGAGAAGAACTTGAACGACGATACTGTCAAGAAGTGGCTCGTTCTGTGTTCTGAGAATGGACAGTAAATGCATTAAAAATGCGTATTCATTTCCTTTTCAGCATTTTGTAATTTGTGTTTTGCTGGACGGAAAAAATCAGATGTACACTAATTTGTAACAAAATACATTGAGAGATTATATTATGTGTATTTAAAATACTTAATAAAATGCCATTTTAACAAAAGGCTTACAGACTTTTGAATACAGCCTATCGCCATCCTTGGCAATATTCAAAGGAAAGAAGCTGCTTTGGTGATCGGTGCAAATTGCATATCAGTATATACAGTAAATTAGGCATATATTGCTGACTGAATGTCAGTATAGGACAATTAGCAAACAGCAGTGCTGTGCTCTAGAACTTGTAAATGAACTTGCTAGCCTCCTAAGGCTAATGGCATTCTAAATTAAGTTAATTTCAACAGAAATGCTCAGGCAGTGGCATCTTGTGGTTTGTCATATATGGAAGCCTTCGTTAGCGATAAATCAGGCTAGCTAGTTTTGTTCCTAAGGACAAAGTTATTTTCTATCTTCTAAACATGGGAGTTTTTAACGCCACTGAGCTTGTTTAAAAGGGAGAACCGACTGGTGAACTTGACGTTGCATATCATCTGCATTGCAGTCGCTGGTCCCATTTGTATTTTTTGAGTGTACAGTATATCTAAATAACAGTTTCTTTGAGTTTATGTTCGGCACCCTACTGTAAGACAAAGCTGGTAATTCATGCATTATGATCATTTAAGAAAGCGTTACGGCGCCTCATTGTGCCTACATTTGCACTTTATAGTTAACTGTGTGGTAGATGACTTCCTTCAAATGATACAAAGAAATGCCTCAGTCCCATTTGCCAGAACAAAATACAGCTTTTCATAGTCCTGAGCACTCGCAATACATGTAGTTTATATAAAACTTTCTTTAACATTGAAAAGAAATGCAGAACATTCCCTGGTAAAATGGCCGCTATGCACAAATCGTGACGTAATAAGCATGTAACTTAATATGACCCATTGCTGATTACCCAGTGTTTTCAAAGGAAAAACATGAACTGCAGGAAGGGTTAATGGATGTAGGGGAAGGTTTCTTCTGTATTTCTTAACGTCGGTTGGGAGTGTAGGCCATACAGGAAGGACTTGCACTTTAAAGTCTGCCCAGGCAGGGTGTGAAGACACTGCTTGCTTCATGTCATGTGCTGTGGACCCATTTCCCTTTGGCATAAGTACAGTGGTACGTCCTGAATTTGCTGGTTTGGACTTGCTAACAGTCACACAGAAATACTAGAAAGATATAGTAAAAATAGATTGTCTGAAAGACTAGACCATCACGTGAGCTGCTTTCTTTTCATGTTTGTGTGACTGACTCGCTCCCATCTTCCAGCAGAATGGCGTAGCTGGAGTCCACACTTTGGAGACTTCTTCAGTTACACTTGCACCTGAAGCTTAATAGAGGTTCTACCTCTAAAAGATGTCTGTTGTGGGCTTTTTTTTTTCCTGTCTCCTAAGGTTGAGGTGACTTAATGCTGTTTATTTGTTGTTAACGTATGTTTTTTCTGCATAAATCACATCTTGTGTATTAAATCAAATTAAATTAAAGATATCCTATGCAATCTGATGTTGTCCTCTTGGTTTTCCTTTTTTTGCCATCCATCACTCCTGGAATGGTAGTGCTGTGAAATGTGAGCTTCTGAGAGAGGTTCCGGTAACTTGCTAACTTGCCAAGACAGAACTCGGCAAATTACAAATGTACACTCGGGTATGTGTCTGCTGCCCTCTTCGTAATAATTCAAGGACTCTCATTCTCACACTACATTCTTTTTGTGAGGAGGGGTTCTACTAATGGCAGCTGTGGCCTGCACTATGTGTTCTGGCCTTTAAATAGGACTGGGGGCTGCATCTCCGATGACAGGGTGTCTCTGAGTAACTGCAGGACTGTGCTGGGGGAGGTCAGCTGGGCACTCTGAGCACTAACAATGTAGGTTAGCCAGCCTGGTATGAAGAGAGAATTTTCTTAAGTCTAAATAGGTTTACAACTGTTATAATAATTCGTATTGTATATTTAGTTGAACAATGTCTCATAACACTTAATAGCGTCAAACTCAAGGCCACTGGGTCATACCCAGCCAGCAGCACAATTCTTTATGACCTGCAAAATGATTTTATGATATGGCAGATTTTTAAGGGTGTAACAGTGCACAAAATGCACAGTTTGGTACAAACCTCAGTTTTTGGTACAAGGTTCTTTGCAATTTTGGTACAGCAGGGAAAACTGAATTTGTTTTGAAATTATTACTAAAACTGCAAACACACACACAATTAGAACAATTGTAAACCAAAAGCAATGTGTCTGATGTCACTGTGTCTGAATAAAGCCTAAGGGGTGGTTATCTGCACATTGTAAAAATAAATATGTAAAATAAAAATGTAAAAATAAGACTGCCTAATAAAAATCATAATGAATTAAATCTTGTGTTCTCTGCTACCAAGTATTAGCCCAGTCTGAATTTCCCAACAAAAGTGCCTTCAATGTCCCTGGGAGACTAACTGTAAGTAGCATTAGCCATACCCAACTCAAATGAATAATAAGGATTATGTATTCCATGTTGTACATCTACTTGTAAATTCAGGTTCTGTTTATATAAGAAGTCAATCCATTACTTTCTTTGTGTATACTGAATTATGTAACTGAGCGGCACATAACAGATGTTGCTGTTACAGCTAACCGGGAAGTAGGGATCATCCTTTACTCTTCCTGCCCCTCCCCCAGAGTAGGGCTGGTACCCCTGGCTAAAATTGCCCACTGTGGCCCTATCAGATCTGGTCTCCTAATCATCCCCTGTATCTAACTGGCAAATTCTCTACTGCCGTTAAACCACCTTAGCTACCGTGCTATGGCTGCCGTCGCATCATCCAGGTGGGGGCTACACAGTGGTGGTGGTTGAAGTGGCTCCCCATTGGTTCTGTGAAGTGCTTTCGGTGTCTTGAAAAGCACTATATAAATGCAACTTACATACATACATACATTCATAATCTTGTTTTGATTTCTTGAAACTAACTCAGCTTGTTTCTTATTTAAAAGAAGGATCCACCAGATGATGTCAGATAAAAGTAGATGAATAATAGTTAATCATCCCAGTGGATGCATTTGATTTAAAGTTCACATTTATAGGTGTTAATTACTTGTAGTAGAGATTTCAACTAAATAACTGCAAAGTTTGGGTCATAGTGTTATTAACTAAATAAACATACCTTCATTACCTTGTCCGGCCCACAAATTCTTTGGTGCTGTTAATATGGCCCTTTCAGTGACTGAGTTTTATAGATCCCCGCTTTTGAAGGATCTATAAAAAGTAAAAAAGGGTTGACATATAATAATGAAACTGTAAGTTGGGAGTAAATGAACGGTTTGGTTTTTGCAGTTAAGGCCTCCCCACCTTCTTGTCAGCCCATTACCTTCGTATGGATGTGGCAGCTCCCAAAGCACTCTACTCTCTGACGTACTGGGGATCATTGCCCTAGAGCCTGTTCTGGGACTGACCTGAAGGGGGAGCCAAATATAAGGATATGCTTTGCTGTCATCACTCTGTGCATTTATATATATATATATAATTTATTTTCCTATTGAATATGGAGCAATTATAGAAGAAATTTTCTGTTTTGCTTAAGTCAAGTGATTATATTTAGGAAAATCAAATCTGAGAAATTATTCCTGAGAGTTCATGGTTCCCTGCTCTCTGATGCATTTTACAGGTCTTCATCGTTTGCAGGGCGTCCCTAAGCTCTAACCCCCTCCAGTTTACCAGATGCCATAGTAGACTGCAAAAGTCATATATTGTCCCTTCTTGGTCCTCCAGTGACACTTTTCCTGGTAAGTTGCTATGTGTAGTAACTATATACTGTTTCTGCCTGCTGCCTTCTTGAGCCCCAGTGACACATGATTTTCCACCATAGTAGGATGGAGCTCAGAGAGCTGAGCTAAATAGCACCTCAGAGCAGCTCTTCTTTCATTATCTCACGCTGGGGAGGATCAGTGTATCCCTGATGCACCTGGTTTCGCGAAAACATGTCTAGTTTCAGGCCAAAATGTTGAGAAGCTAAGTGTTGTCCTTTTGAGATGCTTCAGCTGGTCTTGAAGTGTTCAGTGACTGAGCAGGCAGCTCCATGGCCTCACACTTTATGCGTTCTCGGTCTGGAGTGCAGTCACTAACCTGCTTTTGAGTATATGGAGTTAGCTAATTCTCATGGTGTTTTCGTGAGGTTTTCCGGTATTCTGCTTTGATGGTGTCCCTTATGAATGACTGACGTTTCGTCCATTGTGCCCTCCTCATGCCCTCTGCTTTCTGGGAAAAGCTCCAGGCTCGCTGTGAGCCTGCATTGGTTAAGTGCTTATGGAAAAAGCGGAAGTGTGTAATGATTAATGCCATACCTGACACATCGCTGCATTTTATTTCACTACATTATTAAAGATGATCTCATCACAGCAGGGAATTATTTCCATGATAAAATGTTTACTGTTGTGATTCCTGCTTATCGCAATCCCATCCCTCACAACTTTTGTGAGAATCAACTATAGTCTAAATCAGAGTTTGAAAGAGCTGTGCAGCCTTGTGGCTGCCTGGTTTCACTAATCTTCTGATTCTGAACTGGCTCAAAGTGAGTTCTGGTACTTACTATTGCAGAATGAAGTAATATGCTCTAAGTTTCACCTTTAAATGTCACAGCCTGCTGGTGTTTGGCACGCAAAAGCCAGTTGGGGGGCATCGGACTGTCGGGGGGTGTGTTGTGCCAGCTGCGAAACCTGACCTGCCCACTAATCCTATCTCTTTAATCATTTCTAAAAAAATGCCCCCATTGCTACATGTTTGGACTGGCTCTGGTGATGCTCAGATGGGCCAGGGGATCGGTGCTTTAGAAGTCTGGACCTACCTTCACCTCCTTCACCTACCTTCTCTGGGGAGGTGCCCTGAAAAAGCAAGCTGCATGCTGGGAACTTGCTCTGAGAGGTTTGCTCTCTGTCCCTGACACCATGCCGGGTAGCAACTCACACTGGCTGTCTGTGATGAGGCTTGGATTTTGGAGAAGCACACCCACCTTGTTAGGTATGTCAAAAACAGGCTCTCTCTGGCCTCCGTTTGGACAGGGCTACCACTTCACCCGCACTGTGATAAGTAGCTGCTCTGCTGTGTGTCATCGACACTCTCTTCCTTGTGTTTCAATTCCAAACATGGTGATCCTTCTAGGGGAATTTGCTGCTCCACCCCTCATTGGCCCCCTCAAACTCTCCCTGTCGTCCGTTTCCAGGAGATAGCTACACATTCCGAATGTATCCCTCTAGGGAAACAACCGCAGGGAGAAAAGGAACACACAAGCAGATGAAACAGAGGAAGGGAGAGTGGGAGGGAGAGCAGGGCTGCTAAGAAGACGTGGCAGAACTACAGAGGCTCTGGACCTTCGCTCAGGCTCCATACTGAGAGGGGACAAGTTCAGCGCTACAGAAACCCAGAGACTTTCCAAGACAATTTGTAAATACTTCACAGAACGACGGACCACATTTCATTTTTCTTCTTTTTTTTTCTATTAATGTGCCACATCTTTCTCAAAAACATTTTGCTACTTTATACGTTGGAGCCACTATAGCTGAACAGAACGTCATCTTTACTTGAGTTGCAGTTCCCGATTAAGTAGGAAAGAAAACGGAGTATTTTGTTTTTGTTGTAAAGCACATCAGAGCATTTCCAATTTTGGATGTTTTTTTAATTCTTAAACTGACATACGTGTTTGCCCGATTGATTGACAGCTTTAGGGACTGGGCAGGATGTTGAATGGGAACACTACCACCTTGGATGCAGCGTCGACAGAATACCAGTTCTGTACTGTATGGGGCAATGAGACAGAGGGGGCCTTCTACCACCTGGGTAACACACTGCTCTGGTTGGGCTACATGGGCGGCAGCGGTGCCTATGGGGCACTCTACATCTTCGGTTGTCTAGCTCCTGCTTTCTTGTGCCACGCAGTGTGGGGCTGGAGGCTTTTGTGTGGGTCTTTGCCTGTGGTGGTTTGGTCCAGCCTGCTGGGGGCACTGTGCCTGTTGCAGCTGGCCCATCTTCTGTACCAGCTGCACAGAAATTGGCTGCCTGGGGAGGAGTTCCGGAACCTCTATTCTGGCGTTTACCTGCCGCTGGGCGTGCCGGTGTCCATATTCAAAGAGGTGTCTGCGGCCTGCGACTCCCAGGTGCTGTCCCTAGGCGAGGAAGAGGCTTACGCTCTGGAGGGAAAGACAGTCATTGATCGACTGTCTTTCCTGCTGTCTGGAAGGTGAGTCCCTTATCCCCCTCTGATCTGCACCAGGACTTCCTCATTGCCCTTGGGAAAAACAAAACAAAAATAGCTGTATCATCTGTTTTTTGCACAACACTGCCCTGACAGAGAAGAGGTCAAACAAATTGTACCATGTTTACTACTAAGCAGATGTGTTGTGCTGAGGGGCGATTACAGTATTTTCTTTCATATAAGCTGCACATAAAGCAAATGAGCTGTCCAAATTCACAAACAAACGTTCATATACTGATTATGATGAACATATTCTGCATTTTTGATGGCTTTTTGTGTGCAAATGTTTCGTGCTGGAATTTAGAGAGGAGTTGAGTGCATCTTCCTATGTGTTAATGTATAGGCCCTGTCTAACCAGGATGATACAGGGTTCCTATACTGTAGAAAGCCCTTTACACATGAAGCAATGCCAGCAGCTTCAGATTCAAGCTGCCCTTGACCTTTGAGAGAATTCTTCAGTTCTCAAGATGTCTGGCTTACATTCACAAGCTTAATATGGATTTTACTGCAGATGCCTTACAGTATATAAACCTCTCTTTTAGCACTTAAATATTTCTTTGTGTGTTGTTCTGCCAAATCCAGCAATGGAGAGCTGGGTCATCTTACATAACCTGTTTATGGTGAAGTAAACCCGATTACCCACGGTCAGGCCAGTCACTTGCTTAGCATAAATGCAAACACTGCTGTCTGAATGTTCCTCCTGAAGTGACATTCAGCTTCTGTGACACCTGGCTTAGGTTCAGATGGGTTCAGTCATTTTGTACCTGTGATGAAAGCATTTTTCCTGAACTGTTACAATAGAAACATCCATCTGTGAAAGGAACTTTGAGGCCAGCTGCACATGAATTGGCTACTACAGTACTTTTGAGAACTACAATTTTTTCAGTGATAATCATCAGAGATGGTTATGTGGTCTGTAGTGGAAGGAAAACAATCAGCTTGGTGGGCAGTACCACGTAACAACAGGATGGCGCCCTCTGCTGGACATGCATGAAATACATTTTAGACAGAATGCATGAATGAGTAACTGTGGTAAACTGAGGAACCTGCAGAATTATTAATGAAATGTTTAGGAAATGTTCAGCTATGAGAGTCGACTTGAGGGTTTACCTTCATAGTTTCATGGTAGAACTCTTGTGGGCATTGTCAATCTAGATTTTAAAAAGGAACATTTAAAATTCCATGGCTAGTATCTTACATATGTACTTGCTGTGTCCTAAATAAATCACCAGATAAAGTTTATACTGGTGCAGTGGCACACACACTCTCACACACACTCATATACTTATACTGGATTTCATAAATAACTGCTATGTTTATGACCAATATTAACAAAAATAGCCCAGGATGAGTTCAAGGTTCAAGGTTTTTTTTATGGTCACGTGCACATTGTACAATGAAATCTTTGACAGGAGAGCAGGAGGCCCATCTCAGTTAAGTCCATCTATCCTGTGTAACTTATTATTATTTGATGGCTTAGCACAGATTTTTATCTAAAGTGAGAAGCATCAGTACATTTACCTGCCTAATATTTTACTAATATAATTGTTATTTAATTGAAGCTTATAAGGGTTCTGTCTTGACTAGACTCAGACATTCTTTGATCTACATGGTCACTCCTGCCCAGGGTATACTGCCCCACAGACAGAAGACTGTAGCGCAGCAGAGGCAGGTGGGTATATTCTGCACATTCTGCTCCATATGTGTCAGCTGACTGCCTCTCTCTCTCTCTCTCTCGCTCCCTCGATCTCTCTCTCTCTCTGCCTGCCTGCCTCTACTAGAATCCGAGTGTCTCTGGAAGGCCAGTTCCTCCACTACATCTTCCCATACCAGTTCCTGGACTCACCTGAGTGGGAGTCGCTCAAACCCACAGAAGAGGGAAACTTTCAGGTACAATCAATCAGTGGGGAGGTTTCCAGCCAACACCAATTAACTGACCACAGGTTTCCCTAGCCTTTATGCAATAAGCTAGAAGCAGGTGAACAAGTTTGGCTGCTATAGCATCTGAGATGTTCTTCTTATTCAAATATTTGAGAATTTTCTCTGGTCCACTTACAAACATCTGACTAAAGTCACTGAAACCTTCACTTGTTTAACTTCTCTCTTCTAAAAATACATAGATACAAACATTAGAATTATTTAATAGAGTAAATGAGATGTAGGTCATTTTGAGGACTACCCCAATGACCTCTGACTTTTGAACTGACAGGTGACCTTGACTGCGGAGACGGACTGTCGCTACATCTCATGGAGGCGGCGGAAGCTCTACCTGCTTCTGTCGCGTGATCGCTATATTGCACGCCTCTTCTCCGTCATGCTGGGTAGCGACATTGCTGACAAGCTCTACTCCCTCAACGACAAATTGTTTGCCAGGAGCAATGTGCGTCTAGACATCCGCCTGCCCAGCCTTTACCACGTGCTGGCCCCGCCCTCTGCAGACCCTGGATCTGCCCAGCAGATTTCACACTCATTCAATTCCAGCTTGGGTCTTCTGGAGGGGAACGCAGATTCCCCAGCCGTCCATGACCTGCCCCGGCCCCGTTCCTTGGATATGGAGAGGCTCTTTGGTGAGGACTCCAGCAGCCTGATTCTGGAGGACTTTGCTGACATGACAGGCTCCTTCATGGAGTATGGGAGTGAGAGCAATTATTTGAAGTAGTAGCGAGTGGCAGTGAAAAACTAGTACACTGGATATTTGCTAAGCCACATGTAAGTATGGGAGCAGGACCACGCTTGTTCTGTGGTGACACACAAACTAATCTGACTAATGAAATGGAGGTGGGCTTCAAAACGTCATGTCACAGACATGATCATCAGTATACATTGAACACTCTCTGTACCTTCTCTGGAGCATTGATTTAGGAGGGGCATCATCCAAGTATACAATATCCCGGGGGGTCAGTTCCAATGGATCCATTACTGCTGATTTAAGAATGCAAGGCTGAAAATAGAGGTTAATTTTGTATAAATGAAACCCGTCTTCATGTAAAAGATTTTTTTTTTTTTTTGGGGGGGGGGGGGGTGTTCTGGAATAAACAAATAATGATGTGGACACTGAGACTTAAGACTCAGTCAGCAAAACATAAAATGTTACCATTATGCAAATGTTGCATGTCCAAGGCAGGAAGTCGGGCTGAAAGGACTCCTGTACTTCGTAATACATCATGTTCTTATTCTTTCTTTGTTTCTGGTCCAGTTCTCCAGATACATTTTTGGTTGATTGAGCAACAATGGCAGGTGTGTGTGTGTGTGTGTGTGTGTGTGTGTGTGTCGAGGGGTACACTGTGTCCAGACAGAATTAAACTCTCTTGGAGCGTAGCCCAGAGTGGCTTGGTGCTTCTGGGACAGCTGCAGAGCGATGGTGGCTGGCTAGGCCTGGCACGATCTGTGACTGCTTGTTTTTAATAATGGGAGTAGGAAGGGGTAGTGTGTGGATGTGAGGGGGGTGGAAATCAATGCAAGGCCCTGAATGGTTGAGCTGTTAAAATGGTTCTTTCATCAATGAGTTCATCAGAATGATTTCAGGCTGAAGTGACACTTTGAACAACAAAGCCTTAACCTGTAATAGAGCTACATACGAGCACCCCCTTTATTCACTCACCCAAACCTCTGTACTAATTTGGATTATTCCCTAGCGAATTATGGACTTGATACTGAAAATGATACTGCGGAAGAAAAGGAAAAATGAAACCTCTTTTTGGACTGGCAGCCACTTTATTGTGTGTGCATGTGTTTTGAGAGAGGGCTCTCATTTCATGTCTTTTCTGTGACAGTGTTACGATTTAATCGAGTGGGTGTGCTAGTGTGGTGACAGGGTGCTCTGATTTCCTCATGTGACTTTGCCTCTTTGACCCAAGGGAGCGGAGAATAACAGCAGCTGCAATTGTTGACCCCTCCCCCCCCCCAACAGGGGACCACCCGCCAGGACAGCCTCGTCTCCACTGGCAGAGAAGACGAGCGCCTCTGGTTCCCACTGACACCCCGAGTCTATGAGGACGGCACAGCCCACTGACCAGGCAACACAAACAACCCCCCATGGCTGGTTGGGGGCTCACAGACACTCTGCACTCCCAAATAGGAGGAAAGTAAAAGATGCTCCTTCGTCCACATCGCACCTACCTCCACATAAGCAGTCCTGTATGACTCCTGTGTCACTGTATCACTCAGTTCTCCCACTCTGAGCAGCTGCTTTCCTGCACTGGGAAATCCCCCCTCCCGTTTCAAGTGTCATGCTCTGTACAGTGTAATTCCACATCCGTAGGATGAAGCTTTCAGGGTTACTAAAATACACTGGTGTTTGGAGTCACTCCCAAGGGATGCTGCCCGCTCTCATGTCTTTGTTTTCTAGATGAATGAACAGCTGTTTCTTTCAGGTGTCGTGTGCATTTATATTGTTTAGGCTGAAGAGGTGACAATGCGAGAATGAACCATAAAGTGCTGGCATGACTATTGGAGCATGAGTAATACAGCATCACCAATATTTTTTTACATGCAATTTAATATATGTTAATATTTAAGTATACTTTGGCACACAGATTAGCATGCAAAACAATAAAGGACAACATCCTACATTATCTGCCTGTTTTGTACCAGGTTTATGCGAGGTTTTATGTTTTTAAGCACTGGCTCTGAAGTGGCAGGCAGGGGCTAATTTGTGTCTGTAGGGTCGGCTTCCAGTATTTAGGCTGGGAGGCTTGTTTGTTGGGTGGCGGTTGCTGGATATAGGTAAGAAGATCCGCATCTTGTGGAAGCATCATGCTCTCACTGGCTCTCACATGGCCGTACAAGCTCATGTGACCACAGGGAGCCCTTCATCAAATTGAAACTCCCCACACACAGTGGAGTGTCCTTGCTGCAAGAGATCATACACATGTAATGCAGTATAATCCATACACTTACACACACACAAACTAGAACTGTTCTCTCACTTATAATTGAACAGCAAATTTCCAAAACTCATTCAGTCTGTTTTTTGTTGTTTTTGAGATGAGACCACCAATGACCTAAAGTCAGGCTTCCTCATCAAATATTGGGATCCAAAACCCACCCAGTCCTGATGTAACACAATCAAGAACTTTTGTTACATTACCAAAACTCAATTAGTTCACAGAAATATTTTCAAAAATATATCCTATGAAATGAATGGGTTTTATAAATCTGCTCTTCAGTTACAACACGAAAATGTCTTTGTGTCAATGTCATACCTAGAAGACAGCAACTCTGAGATGCAGAGGGACATGAAGTGAATCTCATCCTTTTGGTACCAGGCTCCTGTGTTCTTCAGGTGGATGGAATTGACTTCGCAGAGGGAAACTGGGTGGGCCATCACCTGCTTGTACATGGAGTTCTTTGTGTACCTGTAACACAGATGTGTTGCTTTAGCAACGCACCTTCAACTGCATGCGCATACCCACAGTCACACAAACAGCTACATGCTGGCAGACACTCACAGTTTGATGGTCTCCTTTGTGTCAGGATGTCCTTGATGACTGAGGGTCACCTGAACTTCAGCGCTCTTAGACAGCGGCCACACCTGCAGCTCCAGCAGTATGTGATGAGCTGCAAGATGTAGGCTGGATATGAGCTACAAAATTCATGCATTCAGGATCAATTAAAATAATAGGCTGGCTAAATTTAGAGCACTCCAGGACTAAGGGCACATAGAAGACATGCCTCTCTGCACTCACTGCAGAAGGGGGCAGCATTGGTGGTAAGCAAGAAGAGCTTCTCCTCCTGGGGCAGAGGATCTATAATGATGCCACTCCTTTGCTGGAGTCCTACAGGATGTTGTTGGGAGGTACACAAAGAAATTCCACCATGAGAATGATACTTTCAAAGGCATGCTTTCAATTTTAAGAGTATTAAATCAACATTGAAAAAAATATTTTTAATTTGCAATACTGATCATATATTATTTATTATAATGAAGTATCGCCTGCATTATATGATTATATAGACATCATTTGAGATATATTATTGTCTGTTGTTTCTCTTGCAATATTGGGTGTGCAATCATTTCACGAAAAGAGACACTCAGCCTATTTCAGGACATGTTCCATTAAAGGTCTTCTTGCAGTCCAGGCACTGTCCATTGAGAAATTCTTTGTAAGTTGGGCATGGAAAGCCCCACAGACGACAGGAGCCATTCAGTGCGCTGATGTACACATGTATTGCCCTCATGTGGTCACAAACGACATAACCCAAACCTGGAAATCAAACCAGATGTGCCAGCAAACTTAATTAGTTCTCGTTGCAATTTATTCTGTACCCATACATTTTACAGGCAATACCTGTTCTGTATACCTTATGCAAGTAACTGAATTATTTTTGCCACATTCCTGGAAATCATCTGGATAGAAACTTCAAATGGAAGAAGTGATCTGATTATTTGTGTTAAAAAGCTGGAGTTTGCTGAGTTGTGTGTGCAGGTGCCAACTTACTCAGAGGGCTCAGAGAATGTGTACAACCGGGCTGGTCTTTTCCTCCATTCAGAAAAAAGCTAACATGTCCGACAGGGATGGAGATGCCAAAAACTGCGAAATAGCATCGTACATATTAGACCACAGGTTTCTGAATTAAGGGGTGAGTGTCCTGATGCCTAAACCAGTGTTATGACAAATCTATTGTCAACGATTGTCTGATTTGGGTGCACATAAGTTACTCACCATCAGTGTCTGAGTGTATGGCTTCAACAAAAAGAGCATCTGTAGGGTCCAGGCGGTTGTATCGATCATGTCCTTTAAAACTCGGTCCTGCTGGATCCAAACCTGGTGGCCAGAACCAAAAGTTAAAATTAATGATTTCAATATGAGATCACAGTTATTTGTCTGTTATGCTGTCATATGGACAAACATTGAAAGAGATAAAACTTTGCCAAATTAATATTACAATAATATTTTTTCATATTAAGAATCTGTGATCAACATCAGTTACTGTTAACTGTTTTTGCAGAGTAAAACCAATAGCATTTATAACACATTTAGAAACCTCAGCCAATGTTAAGTTCATTGTATCAGGTCAGAGCCAAATAAAAGCATTTTGAATTGTTACATGTGCTTTTTTGTGTTATAGACCATGTATGAAAACAAAATCAAGGTTCTAGTCTTGTTTTTTGTTTTATGTTTATTTTATGTTGTTTTTTTCCGTTTGTCTATCGGGTTGTATTTCCTTGCTTGTCCAGCACTTTGGTCAGCTGTTATTGTTGTTTTTAAAGTGCTTTATAAATAAACGTGACTATCTACACCGATTAGTCATACCATTAAAACCACCTGCCTAATATTATTTATGTCCCCCTAGGGCTCCCAAAACAGCTCTATCCTGCTGAAGCATGGACTCCACAAGACCTCTGAAGGTTTCCAAGATATTAGCAGCAGATCCTTTTAGTCCTGTAAGTTGTGAGGTGGGCCTCGATGGATTGTACTTGTTTGTCCAGCACATCCCACAGGGGCTCAATGGGATTAAGACATGGTGAATATGGAGGCCAAGTCAACACCTTGAACTAATTTTCATATTCCTCAAGCCATTCCTGAACAATTTTTGCAGTGTGGCAGAGTGCATTATCATGCTGAAAGAGGCCACTGCCATCAGGGAATACCATTGCCATGAAGGGGTGTACTTGGTCTGCAACAATGTTTTGGTAGGTGGTCTGTTTCAAAGTAACATCTACATGAATGCAAGATGAAATGCACTGTGTGTTCTGACCAGGGGAGTTTCTAGCTATTGAAAAGATCAGGGACTAAGTCAAGTTTACCTGGGGCTTGACTCTTTTTTTGAAGTAAGATAACAGGCATCAGAGCTAAAATACTTGGGGCTAGGCTTAAAATACTTGGGGCTATAGCCCCGAGTGATCGGACCTAACAATGCTCATGGCTCTGACACGTTTCGAACACAGCCAACATTAACTTTGTCAGCAATTTGTGCCACGGGAGCTTTCCTGTCAGTGAGTCTTGGGTGCCAATGATCCCATCGCTGGTTCATCAGTTGGCCTTCCGTGGACCACTTCTGGTAGGTACTACCCACTGCATACTGGAAACACCCCACAAGACCTGCCATTTTGGAGATGCTCTGGCCCAGTCTTCTAGCCATCACAATTTGGTTCTTGTCAAAATTGCTCAGATCCTTATGCTTGCTCAGTTTTCCTCCTTCCAACACATCAACTTGAAGAACTGACTGTCCGCTTGCCTGATTTACTTATACTATACAAGTAATATATAAAATGACCCTGATTATAAGATGACCCTCCAGTTTCTGGCAACTATTTTNTGACTGTCCGCTTGCCTGATTTACTTATACTATACAAGTAATATATAAAATGACCCTGATTATAAGATGACCCTCCAGTTTCTGGCAACTATTTTTCGAAAAAATGTTTGTGGCATAACAAATCTTACCTTTATAAAGAAAAGCTACTGAAAGAAAATCAGGGGATAAGTCAAATTTACCTGAGGCTTTTTTTTTTTTTTTGAAGGAAGACTGGCATAGAGGGTAAAATACTCAGGCTATAGCCCCAAGTGATCGGACCTAGGGACACCCATGGTTAACCAGCTGCCACAACTTAAAAAACAACCACAGGCAATCAGATTATAAGTGTATTGAACAGCAAATGTTTCAAAAAGCAGATGTATTATTTGGGGGTGGGGTAGGGGGTGGTGGTACGTAATGTATATTACAAACTCCACAACACTTGAGGGCGCAGAATGTCTTTGATGCAGCAGACCCACACGAAGAGGGTAAAAAAACATCTTGCGGAGAAAGATCGAGCCATATTAATAAATGATATGACAGCTCTAAAATGATTGTTATTGTCTTTACTAACAGCCACAATTGGTTTAATACTAGCAGCGGCACAGCCAAGGAAGGCAGCAATTTACACGACACTCAGGGATACACGCTAAACATACGCATTGCCAGGGTTGCTAACTCTCCTGCATCTGGCATGACACTCGCTTTCAGACTCTCACACTCACGCAAGAGATCTTAAGGCAAATCTACAGTATATTACGGAAAGTCAAAACACTCATTACGAAATATCTTATTTAGCGCCATCTGTTCCCTTTTTTGTCTAGACCATGAATATAAGATGATACCACTTTTTCAGGTGTATTTCAAGGAAGAAAAATCGTCTTATATTCGAGTCTGTATGGTATAATGGCGCCCTTGACAGGTGCCATTGTAATGAGATAATCAGTGTTATTCACTTCACCTGTCAGTGGTTTTCATGTTACAGCTGATCAGTGTAGATGAGCATTGTATGGTCTGAGAGGGAGACATACACACCCCAATTTCTCATTTCAATGATTAATAATTTATTTTGCAATACAGCTTGATCAAACTGCCATGAGGGCTAAGTCTGAGCCACTGAAATATCCCTACCTTATTCTGTGTTATATTTGCACATTCCTTTAATTGGGGCCCTCGGGTGGATTAATGCTGGTTTTGATCTTACCTGTGATTCTTCCCACCTTCCCCTCAAACAGTGTCCCTATGAAGCCAGCCACATGTGCTCCCAGGCTCATGCCGATAAGATGGATGGACTTCAGGCTGCTCCCATGCTCCTAGGGCAGATCACACATCC